AAAAGCTGAAATAAATAAGTTTTGGTAAAATTGATTCCCCATACCAATAACTCATTCACGACATTATGCCGCAGCGTGTTTCGGCGTGATAAATAAACCTTCGAAATCTAACGCGTTGCCTCTTCTTAAAAATGTATCGTCTTATTGTTAGAAGAACTATTCTGGTCCAGGAGCTTCTCAAACGCCTCAAGCACTCTTCTATCTTGCAGTGCGGCTTTTGGGGCCGTTGGAAACACACGTGGTCACCCGCATGTTTGTACCTATATAGCAGGCTGCGACGGAAATCGCTAGCGTTTTGTTTTTTACGTGTGAAGCGCGTAGTTCTCGTACCTACTTGATGCGTGCGTGTGTTTGTTTGATGCCTTTGACATTTGATAGACTTGAGAACTACAAATAATGGGGGAGTTTTAGAAAGGGGTTTTAAAGGTAAACATTTGTATTTTTATGTTTCAGGATAAATATATTAACATTATTAAAAAATATTTTGAAAGTTATAAAGTATTGTTAAAAAAAATTTTAAATAGAATTTTTAATAAAATAGGTATGTAATAATAGAATATTTATGGATGGAATTTATAACAATTATTAAAAATCATAAAATTGCGAATGTTTCAAAAAATTTATAAAATCGATATGAAAATTTAAAATAGCATTTTTAATTAAATTTAGAAAAAGAAAAAAGTACCTAGGTATTTTATATACATTTGTATTTTATTATTACAGTGTAACCCATTTGTTTGCGACTCTAAAATCTTTATTTATTGTGCGATTTTAACCGGATTTTTTTTTAAACTGTAGATCTTTTATTTAACACAAATTTTATAAATTTTTAACTTATTCTGTCAATGAAAAAACATTGAAATAAAATTAAACTAATGGTAACATGGCATAAATATGCTTAGTTTAAAAATACATCGAAAAAGAATTTTTTTTTTAAATTTGTGTTTTAATTTTTGTTGAATAACAACTTAGATTTCTAAATTATAGACACCCTTTTTCTTTGACTATAAGCTGGTGAAGGTCCCTTTTAGTACTTTTATATTGCGTGGAATTTTTTCTTGGATGTAATCCATATCATGAGTTGTAATTAAAAATAATTTTAAATTGGTTAATCATAAACTACTTTTAATTAAAGCGAGATTAAATATCCACTTTGTTGTCGAAAAATTCTATTGCGTTACCCTAAATTCCATTGCGTTACCATAAGGTAACATAGTGGACTCGGTAACGCAATGGACAAAGTTTTGTAAAACCATATTAAATAAAAATAATAATTAGACACAATGAGTACCAAAAAAGTTGCCATATATATGGTTTTTTTTATATTCTATCGGTAACGCGACGGACGTAACGCAACGGAAAAAATGTCTGGGACATTAGTCAAATTTAAAAAAAATAGATTAAAATTAATTATTTTATATATAAATTGTTTACTGTATTAACTAAGGATGTTATGGATTGCTATAAAGCAACACAAAGTTCTGGTTATTCAATATTAAAAAAAAAACATGTATGTAAGTTTTATAAAACGCTAATGGGACATGCGAAAGAGTTAACTAAAGGCTTGTTAGGCTTTCACTTGGTTTTTAAATCAATAAGATCCGATAATTTTTAACAAAGATATTGGAATTCAAACTTACGAACAGCGGAAGGCGGGTGTTTTTTGAAAACGACCCAAATAAAGAGAAATAAACCTTGGTAAATTAATTAAACATATATCCAATAAATATCATTTTCTTTAGATAAAAATACAAAAAAATATGCGTAAAATTGGCTGAAGGACTTAGGTCAATGGCCTTTTGATTGTTATTGTTATATTATATGCGTAAAATCCTGCTTAAATTTTAAAAACCATAATAGAATCAGTGAAATAATAAAACTTTTAAAAATAAGAAATAAAATATGTATATCAAATAAAATGAAAACATTTTATTTTTTCATCAGAAAGTCATTCAAGTGAATACAGATAATCTAGATTATGTATTTTTTTTCTAATCCATACCTTTATTCAATGGATATTATGCTATCAATCATTTAATACTTTTTTAAATTTATCAAAACCAAATCTAAGACTTTAGATAGTAAAAGGCCATCTCATATTCCTTACAAGTATACATTATACATCATAATACTATAGTCGAAATATTTTTGTTTTATTTTTACAGTCTAATATACGTTAAACCCTCCATCATTTTGATGACCTGCCAATTAAAACCCTCACTTTCATCCCCTAGAATATAAACGTATATATTGAGATATTCGAAATACTGGTTAAATCTATCCCCCTGTGAGATAAAATCTTTGCTACTTTCGGAAAGGCAGATGCCGGGAATGTTTAATTGATTGATGTCCGTCCGGGATTATTTAGTGAATATTGCAAAATATAGTCGATTTCGATCCCAGCGCTTTCGAGCTCTCTCCTATAGATTTTGCGGATGTTAATTTTCCATTTTGATTTAGGATTTGCAGTTCCATTATAATTACCTTATATTGCGGCGGATTTCAATTGAATTATCTATTATTATCTATTATCTATTATTTATCCAGCACATTTAATGTAACAACAACAAAATATACAGGGTAAAAACCTTAAGTGATATAAATTCTGTATTTTGAAAACAACTTATTCTTCAAAAAATTTCAAAAATCTGCAACTTTATTTTTGTATGGCTTAATTATGATGAACTAAAACTGTGCGTATTGAGATTCTAATGATTGGATTTTGAAGGCCAGGGGACTGTAAATGGAAGCAAAATAGGTATACCAAAAATGGTTATGTTAGAAATGTTTCTAGACAACGTCAACCTATTGAGATATATATATACATCTGGGTGAATCTCACGTCTAAAACCTATCCTCCGTGACTCTTTCTAGGTTAACCTATTTGTTTTCAAATATCTGAGGTAGTAAAAGCATACTAAAAATACCAGTTCACTAAGTAAATTAATCACATCCAAAGCAATCGAATCAAATATAAAATATTATTAAAAATTAAAAGAAATAATTTTTATAACCATTTATGTATGTGTTACAAAAATTGATTTTATCCTCCGTGAATCTGTTTTTTCTTTAAATTTTATGCAACGGATGGCGCTTTAATCATTTTAAATAAGCAAAAAACCTCTGTTTACGACATTATAGATGCATGTGATTCCTGAAGGTCAGTTAGAATTTATATGCAGATGAGGGTGTTGCTGTTTTATAATTCAAAAGCTTAAGTTCATTAATTTGCTATTTAAAAACCTATCCACCGTGAAGTGTAATGTCTCAGTAAGTAGATTATTTTATAAATATTTTATGTATGTACAATTATATTTTTTTTAAATATTAAAGTGTCAAAAGATACAATAACCTATTTCAAATATACAAAGGGATGTTTAAGAAAAAACATAGCAAAATCCTAACCTCCGTGAAGCTCTAATATTCAAAATGTGTGATTTCATTAAAATTCTTGCATTAGTGCAGAACCACTTATTTTATGTTATTACTAGACCTGGTGGCTTCCCAAAACCGTAATTCGTAATTTTCAGTAATTTTTGGTGCCTTTGGGCAAAATATTTTATTAAAAATAATAAAACGAATTTAGGCGACAATTTAGGTTAAAAAACAGTAGTTATTATAAATAATTCCTGCGTTCAAATTATCGCAAATTAGTTTTGTGAAGTTGCCAACAATGTTTTAGACAAATTTATGTAACAGAATATATTTATTGCTTTGTTTATTATCTTTGTATTGCCTGCTGGAATTAAAGCTACAATAAAGCTCGACCATTCGTATTTTATCTTATAGTTTATCGAACAAAACAAAACCTTTGGAAAAAATAACCGGCTTTGCGAGCTTGTAGATGAAACACTAATTATAGTAAATAGATCTTAAAATAACATTTGTTTGGCGGATAATTATAGTTAAGAATTGCTTGTGCCAAATGACATAACATGAAATGTGGTGTAGGGTGAGGTGTTCCATAAGTATTTACAGGATTTTTTTTTGTTTTTATTATATGGGTGATTCTACAAAAGTTGGACAACTTGATGTCATCAGTCAATAGAGTAGGTATTTTAATATTTTTTTGTAAATATTTTAGTATATTACAAAAGATCCAGGTTTTTTTAACTTGTCCACCCAATTTTAATGTATTTTTTCAAAAGCACGTTTGTAGAAAAACATAATAAATATTCAAAACATCAGCACCTTGGCGTGTCACAACTCCTGAATCAAATATTTGAGTGATTTTATTTTAAAATATATTCAATTTTTCTTAAATTTTTCAATTTCACTACAAAACTGTAAAACATTAAATAATGTATTTTTCATATTTTATCATAGATTCGAATAATAGCAATTTAAAAAAAAATGATAATCTTTGAACTCACTTTTACCCGTCAGTTCTGTGTCCAACGTTAAAATTCAAAATTCCTGCGAAATATTGAAGTTTAAACGTAAAGTCCTCGTTTTAACTCAAGTGTTGGTAAAAAATTACCTACAGAGCCCGCCCTTTGCACGACAGTCATCTTGAAAACAATGCAAGCGGCGAAGTTGTGGTGAATGCACGTATAGTTCCAGTCAAAATTTCAGTACTGTGGTGAGCAGTTATTTTCTTACGTATATATATTTCATTGTAATTTATCTGATTTTTTTAAGTACCCACGATTTTTTAACTAATATTTAAGTTTCCCTTGGTTTAAGTTTTATACACTATTTCATTCGGTGATAATTATCAATTGCGCACCATGGTCACTTTTTACCTGCCAGCATTAAATCCTTTAATTTAAAGGATTATTGTACTATTTTTAATAAAAATACCTCATTATGGGAAAATATTATTTTGTAAATTAATTAATTTAATCCTAATTGAGGTATAAAAAATGGTATTTAGTTATAAATAATAATTATTATTGAGGTATAAAGAAACTACTTATAGTTTAGCATTATTTAATTAATTTAGTTCGAAGATTATTTTGCAAACAAAAAGACCTCCTTTCGTTAAGCAGTTATTCATAATGGATTTTTTAACAGTGGAAGAAAAAATAGAAATGATTTTGATTTATGGAGAAGCAGGCAGGAATCTTGATGATGCTGTTAATAACTACGCTCAGCGTTTTCCGGATAAAATTCGATCACGTACTTCATTTCACCGTAGTCGAGCAGTTTACTACAAACGGGAGTGTTCAACCGAAAAAAAAGAGTTCGTCGAGCAACAGTCACAGGTGGAAATAATGAAATTAATGTATTAGCAGCTATATATATATAACACCCTGTATAAGTCGTAATTTTGTTTTAAGTTTTAGTTTTATAAACGATTTTTTCCATAAAATTTTAAACGTTATATTATAAATTGGTTTATTTAACAACCCTTATAACTCGAGCTATGATCCTCTATACTAATTATGAAGGGTCTACTAATGTGATATTTTTTTTCTTGCAGCGTGTGGCCAGCCTTACAGTGTTTCCTACTTCCCCATCAGCCAATTATATCGTGCCAATGATCGAGTGTACATCGCTTTAACGCGTCCTGAGCAGTGACTACTTGCTACGTGAAAAAACCGAAAACTTCTTTCTCAAAGTGGCCCTAAATTAAAACGCGGGACATTATGTAATTTTAATTTAAACTAAAGCGCCCGGTGTTGGAGTTAAAGTAAAGTGTAGATGAAATTTCATTACGGCAGTTTGTTTGAACAGTTTAAATATGAGTGGAGTTCGCAGTTCCGTAGTGCCCTTTAGTTTGCTGAAAGTTCTGCGAGCGTGGACCATTGTGCTTGTTTTGGCGCCCGTTTTGTCAGGTTCGTACTTTTTTTTTCTTAACACTGTATGGGTCAACGTTTAAACACTATTTGATTAATTTAATGTAATATTTTAACTGAATAGTATTTTTATGCCGTTGTATAATTTGGCACGTTTGAAATTAACGCGGAAATCGAATAGGCAGCGCAAAGATATGTATCCATGTTTGTGATTGGTGGAGAGAGAGAAAAAGAAAGAGAGACGCCATTTTGACAGTTGCTTCATAGATATAATTAACGTTTAATTTACGTTAAGTAATATTATACTATACGCTAAAGAAGTAGCGCCATTAAGAATTCTTTAAAGTCTCCACTCAACGGTGAAATACCATTATATTATGTATTATATATAATATTATGTTGCCATGAATTCGTAGGTATATTTTGATGTTTAAAATGCAGTTGTCGGCGTTTTTTTAGAGAACTCAAATATAAAAATGGTTGATTTTAAGGTTTGTTTGTGCAAAAATTATTTTTTACTAATTAAACTTAAATATAAATTATATTAGTTAATTCTGCACCAACAAATGTACTTACCGAATTGGATCCTTTGGCAAAACATGAAAATGCAAACGATTTAGTTCTTGAATTTTATTTACAATTAAAAACACAATAATTCACCATGATCCCTTAGATAAAATACACACACTAACGTAACTATATAAGCAATTAAGCGTTGAGTTTCTTAATCAATGATATAAAGAATAATCAATCAAAATCGAGTACTAAACCAGTTTTTCAGTTTTTTCCTTGCAACGTAAAACACAAATAAAGTGCGCGATTTAAATGTATTGTTGACAATTCTTAAATTGCTTTTGAAATCCACCAGAAGGCACGCACGTTGCGAAAACCCGATATTTCTTTAGCGTACAACTTTAACTTTAACCTATACCATAACTTTAACCATGCATACTAACTAATTGGTTAAACAATAAGTTTAAATATACGTTTTTTAATTAGATTTTGAATAATTTACTGGTTATATATATATATATATATATATATATATATATATATATATATATTATATATATATATATATATATATATATATATATACATTGGCATAGTTATCTTTTTATATCGATATTATATAATAATTAACAAGTAAATTCTCAATAATAAATATTACTGTCAATAATGAAGTGATCATGATCAGCTATTTCTAAATAAAAAGCAGTTGGATATTCTCTTGACACTTCTTTTTTTGGAGCGGTGTATATATTTTACACCCGGCTATTTTAGCTATTTACCTTACCCACTTTAACTTTCCGTCTACGTATTTTAAATTCGCAAAAACAACATGGTTATGTTGGGGAAATGTTTGTTTTTAACGGTTATATTTTATTTTGAAAAAGAATAAACACGACGAAAATGTACACAATGTAACATGTCATGTTTTTATCCTAAGATTATATTTGTAAAAAATGTTAACGTTTCACCATTTTCCATATTAAATATTTTAATAAATATTTTTTAACACCACACCACTTTCGCAACTCTTGAAATAATACCTCTCCAAATTTCTCTTTGACTTTAAGCTCATCGAGATCTTTCATTGTTTAGGTACTCTCCAGATATTCTATAACCAACTTTATAAAAACTAAATAGAATAGATAGGTATTTGAAACATTGTACTTATTTATAAATATAAAACTCCCTATATATATGTATAGGTATCCTTTAAATAAGTAATAATTTAAATTACAAAAAAGAATAAATCAATCCCTAAATAAATAGAAACTGGGTGAATAAATTGAGATGTTTAGTGAACATTGTTCACCAAGTTAAAATGATTATTTTTTATTTTTTATTAAATCTACTTACTGAGATATTACATTCACGGTGGATAGGTTTTTAAATAGCAAATTAATGAAATTAAACATTTGAATTATAAAACAGCAACACTCTCATCTGCGTATAAATTCTAACTGACCTTCAGGAATCACATGCATCTATAATGTCGTAAACAGAGGTTTTTGCTTATTTAAAATGATTAAAGCGCCATGCGTTGCATAAAATTTAAAGAAAAAACAGATTCACGGAGGATAGAATCAATAGAATAATACCTACATAAATGGTTATAAAAATTATTTCTTTAATTTTTTAATAATATTTTATATTTGATTCGATTGCTTTGGATGTGTTTAATTTACTTAGTAAACTGATATTTTTAGTAGGCTTTTACAACCTCAGATATTTGAAAACATATAGGTTAACCTAGAAAGAGTAACAGTCACGGAGGATAGGTTGCGGAATGGTGAGATGATTAATCTTTAATATACAAAAGCTTTTTTTCCGTATATGATTTTCTCTGATGATATAAAAATTTTCATTGATCCAATAACAATTTTGTTCGTTAAAACTTCCATTTAGAAAAAACGACAATAAAATGGTTTAATTTGATATTTATAATGTGTGGTGCGCAATTTAATACCATGGCAATTGACAAAAACTGCTATACCATAATCTTTATTACCTGACCCCAAGTATCTAAAATCATTTTAAAAAGTCATAAAAGTCAATTAATAAATCATAATTAATTAAAATAAGATATTTTGTAACAATTAAAAATACATCTATCACGCCCCTATTCCTTCTACCTACCCCATTAATACTATGTTTAATCCCATTGTTAAAAATAATTCTCTTTTCATGTTTACTGCGCTTACAAAAATAACATTTTTAAATATAAGAGACGACAATACCAAAGAAAAGTGTCTATTTTTAGATATCAATAAAATTGAAAAAATAAACTCTTCAAAGTTTCAGATCAAAAACATTTTCCTCATCTCAAAGACTACAACTTTATGTACAGGGTGATCCCCTATAATGTCGCCCCCCTTGTAACTTTTTTATTTTAAGTGTCCCAAAAATTTAAAAATGTGGTTATGTAGGTACTAAAAAATACTTTTTTTCTACGTGAAATGAAAAATTGATTAATATACAGGGAAAAACAAAAAGTTTATTTTTTTTCAATGGATCACCCTATATATGAATTTATTTTTCGATTCCTTGTAAAATTCTGAGCATAATTCATATAACAAACCATATCCTAAATTCAACTGTTTCTGAAATATTCGCATTCGAAATGTTATCATTAAATGTTTTTTTAAACTGTTGGAAATCAAGAAGCCTCAGTATACCAAATTTTTTATTGAAAATAAATTATTATATTGACATTATGTCAATATGTCTTCTTAAATAAGTAAAAATGGCCTACTCAGACAGAGAAAGACAAACTATTTCAACTTATTATCTTAAAAATAATTTAAATATTTCAGAAACGGTTGAATTTAGGTATATGGTATGATATATGAAATATGCTTAGAATTTTACAAGGAATTGAAAAATAAATACATATATAGGGTGATCCATTGAAAAAAAATAAACGTTTTGTTTTTCTCTGCATACTGATCAATTTTCCAATTTTCTTTATACGTAGAAAAAAAGTATTTTTTAGTACCTACATAACCACACAAATTTTTTCGGACACTTAAAATAAAACGACATTACAGATGCATGTGATTCCTGAAGGTCAGTTAGAATTTATATGCAGATGAGAGTGTTGCTGTTTTATAATTCAAAAGTTTAAGTTCATTAATTTGCTATTTAAAAACCTATCCACCGTGAAGTGTAATATCTCAGTAAGTAGATATTTTTTATAAATATTTTATGTATGTACAATTGTATTTTAAAAAAATATTAAGGTGTCAAAAGATACAATAACTTATTTCAAATATACAAAGGGATGTTTAAAAAACATACGAAATCCTAACCTCCGTGAAGATCTAATATGTATGATTTCTTAAAATTCTTGCATTAGTGCAGAACCACTTATGTTATGTTATTACTAGACCTGGTGGCTTCCCAAAAACCCCATTCTAGACTAACAGTGAAACAACCAAAAATAAAAAATAATCATTTTCACTTGGGGGACATCTCAATATATTCACCCAGGTACAAACTAAAAAACTTTAAAACCCTTTGTTTATATTCTAAGCATTATAATTTTAAATGATAATAATAAATTTATGTATGTTGATTACATTCTTATGCATTCATTTTTACGGCTGCCCTTTCGACATAACCACCCCCCGCGTGGTTTTTTTATCTCTACCAAACCCATGCTGGCCCAATTTTGTATTTAAATGACATATTAACATACTGTTGAATATAATTCATCACCCCTTATGTTTTGAATACGAACAAGGGTCAAGCTCATATAAATTTATTTTGATGCGCAAAAATAAATCTCTAGGATCGTAGGCACAAAGCATAGTTAAGATTTGTTGGCTGTTTTTATAATTTTATGAAAAAACAGTTCCTTCCAATACAAAATTTAAATTCATTGCAGTGATGAGTTTTTGTTGATGCCAATAAATCTTAACTAACCTTTGTGCGCAAGGCTATAGCAGCGAATTTACTGAAGGAAAAACGGATCTTCTTAAATAAGTAGTACATAAAACTCTAACAGGAAAAATAAAACGCCTCTAAGTTTAATAGAAGGAAATGAAATCAGGACGAGTTCGCAGTTTTATTTATTTTTGAAATGCAAAAGCCTGATTATTCAGGTGATTTTATTATTTTATCTTCTTTGAATTGATATGAAACGAACGTAAAATTTGATCATGAAAATAAACTGTTTTATTGGTTCGGAATAAGACTGTTTAATCAGCGATTTTCTGCGGATTAAAAAAAAATAGCTTGAAAACTTGATAATCTACAAAATTAATTTAAATAATAATCACTTGATTACTTAAAAATGTCGTGTTAACCCTGAAATAAAAAAAACTAATAAATACTTTATTAAAATTCTATTTATACGGCTTAACAAGGCATAAATATTAATTAAACCATAGCATGCTAACAATGCCTATTAATCATATAAGCCATGATGTCCATATGGCCATCACCAGTGCCGTAAATAGGGGAAGAAAAAGTAGGGAAGAAACACTGCCCATTAGTCATTATTAAAGAAACGATTTGTCAGTAAATTT